AAAAATACGTAACAGGTAAGTAACAGTAGCTCCGACATCCCTGCCCAAGCTTCCCCGACTCACCCAATCAAATGCGATGTCGAGATCAAAGAGATGGCGGGGGAGAGACAAAAAGCGTTGCAATGAAGGAGGGGCCAAATCGGTGTGATTCCGCACCTTGGGGGATGTGGATAATTTCAAGGCAACGAGTGGGAAAAAGAAAGGGGGAAATGCGGAGGCGGAGGTGGAGGCGGAGACGTTATGGCGGATACTCGGAAAAGGGCCAGGGATGGAGATTGAGGAGGGTGTTGTGAATGGGATGGTGAGCCAAAGAAGTCGGCGGTCCTGACGAATAACCATGGGCAACGGTTTTCCTCCCCTCCCCTCCTCTCCATCTGCATCTGCATCTGCATCTGCTTCTGCATCTGCTTCCCTCCTTCTCCGCATTTTCCTCTTTACCATAGCGTCTCGTCTTCTTGTGATCGAAGCTACGCCACGCCGTATATGGAAATGGACCTGCTGAGCCAAAGGAGGGTGGTAGCTGCGAGCGAGAGCGCGCGCGTGGCTGCGGGGAATGGAGAACCATGAAGACTTGCAGGCGTCGCAGACACACTGAAGTAAAAGTGTGGAAGAAGAGAAAGGACGGGAAACGAGATGCAAAATTGGTGTACTCTGCAGTGCAGTCGGGGATGCTGGGGCAACACCATCAAACATCCCAACTCGATCAGTCGAGGCCAATCAATCATCGTTCGTCTTTCATACCCACTTGCTTGCCTGCACCCGATCTGTTGCCCTCCGAGAGGGAAGAGGGAAGAGGGAAGGGAAGTGATCGACCATCTCCTACGACCCTGCAGCTTCAGTTGCATCATGTCCGTGGCTGTGACCGTGACAAGCGTGTTCTGGGGAGCATTTGAGCTTGGGGTTGGGCACCTGGGAGGTGGTAACACGAGCCCTCCCCTGCCCGACGTGCTGCTTCGTTTCCCCATCCAGACTGACTGGGGAGGAGGAGGAGGAGGAGGAGGAATGGCTGGATTCATAATCGTGGATGCTTTACCCCTCCTGCCCCCTCTCTTGTCGTTGGTTGCTCATGAAAGAGGCGTTTTGCAAAGCCAGCCCATTCCTCATTGTGTCATTTCTTGGATGGCATCCTCTTCCTCTATTGTGCTCCCCATCTGCTCATCCTCCTCTTGGACACTGGGCTGAGAAACGCCAACTCCGGAGCACCCATCGTTGCTGACGGCCGCTATAAGCCGTCTACTTAGACGGCCCGGAAGGCCCATCACCCACCATCCTCGCCAGTTGTGGCGCCGCCCGGCTGGCAACGGTCATGCCAGAATGACGCGGCGGGGATGATGTATTGATACTGGGAACATTAAATGTGGCAAAAATGGGAAGGACTGCAAGGAATAAATGGTAGTGTAGACGACGCCGACGGGTAATTGCGTAGGAGGCGGGCGTAGGAAAATGAGCAGTCATATTCGCTATCTTCTGGGAGGGAGGAAGGAAGTGAGTTACTTTCTCCGACGATAATCAACGTACGACCATGATAGCCTTGGAAGAACACTTGATTTGTGAGTATCATGTCGTTTCTTTGCATCGCCGGCCTGCTGCTGCTGTGACGAAGAGGAAAACAAACAATACGGTGAGCCAAGAGAAAACAGTTACTAATAGCAAAGGCATAAAGGGGCCAAAAAAAGGGGAAAAAAAGAAGATTGTAAAAATCAAAGAAACTCGAGACAGAAAATAATAAAGGGTAAATAAAACAGACAGTTGTTCAATTATAGACAACGGCATATATGATGGAAATGAGCAGTTATGATTGATGATTATTCCGTTACATCGCAACACCCAGTTTGACAGTGGCGGGTGGTATGAGGGTGGTGTCGGTTCTGGTCGTGATGCGATGCGAGATGCAAGTGGACAATGCCCCCTAATCTCTGTCAAGGGGGAGAGGGGGCTAACCTGCCATTTTGTTCATGGCTCAATTGACAAGACAACGGGAGAAATCAACCAACAAAGTACTGTAGCTTCCCAATCCTACTCACGATATCCTAAGACGGTGCGCCCAAAGCTAGCCAATCGATCATGACACCCCTTCAAGCGGTGTGCCCGAATGCACAGCGACCTCAAATTTTCGAGTGGGATCAATGGGATGCAAAGAGGCATCAAGGCATCCCCAGCATCCAGTTCATGGGGGCAGAGGGGGAGGGGGCCCGGAGTCTGAAGGATCCGTCGCCCAAAAAAAAAAAAAAATCCCCGCCCCCATCGTGCCCAGCGCCTCAACACCACACCTCAAATACTCACGATGCTTTCGCGAGGTACTCGTTGGGAAAGTACTCAGGCTCCGTACAGCGAGCGGTGCTGGCTTATTAATTAGCTCCCGGCCTATAATGCTGCCCCCTCCAACGTACATACGTCGTAATTACACCGCATAGAAAAGACTCCGGTTCAGGCGCGGTACACGGTCCAGGCCTGGCCATGACCCTCGTCGACGCTCGAACCCAAGGGAGAAGCAGATCTGCTGACTACGTTGTACATATGGGCGGCAAATATTCGTCTGTAAGGGGCCCGGAGAAGGAGTGAGGAAGGGAAGCATCGTGAGAAACCAACAAAAAGAGAGAGAGAGAGAAAAAAAAGGGCGAGACGAGTCTTGTTCTGGCTGACTACTTTGTTTATTACCTGTGCGTATCATGGCAACGCAACAAACACAACTGCGACCGAGACAGTTCTAGCGCTGCCACGTCTTGCCCGCATCTTCACTTCTGGACCCTGTCCCGCTGTTCCCGTTGTTCCCCGTTTGGTCTCTCGTTCTGTGGGCGTCGGTCCCCCCTTTCATGCACGCAGGGTATTGTCTCGAGCGGGACGCGATGCTACTCTACCGATACCCTTCCCATCCGTGGGCTCCGTCGTAGCAGCCAACGCAGTCGAGAGTGTGTTCAAATTATCCTTTTCTGGGGGGGGGGTTTTTTTGTCTCTGATTTTGTCTCCAATTGCCGACTGCACGGCCTGTGCAAACAAAGTCGAAGAGAAAAACAAAAGAAAAAGAACGAGAGTTTAGTCAGATTTCCGTGGGCCAAGGGGCCAAGGATGTAACGATAACAGACACGATGCGAAAGAAGCGTTGGTCCGTGAGAGTCGGGCTGGGATGTGACCCTGACGATGAGGGCACCCCAAAAATACCTAGGGCCAGGTACACAGCATGGGCCGATAGGGATTGAGACAAGACAATCAAGCGAACAGGCAGGCAGGCCAACGTCAGGGCAGGGGGAGCTTGAAGTCATGCATGTTATGTGTGGTTTGTTCTTTTCCTGCTGGCTGCCCTTCTATTTTCATGGTCATGATGAATTGAGGTGATTAAAAAAAAAGGAAAACTCAAAACATATGAACAATGTTAGTCGATAGGGGCACCTGCCATGATAACCTACGACGGTAGATACGTTGTACGACGTGATGTGGGTGGCGACGAGGAAACGGAGGGAATTCCGACTGACGTCTAAACATTGGCAGAACAAGGAACGGAAAGGAATGTGGGAAGTTAGAAGTTAGGCCAGTCCAATGGGTGATGGGCAGGGTACGGTGATGCAGGGAGGCCCAAGCCTAATATAAGGGCTGTTGCAATTGCGATATCTGCATACAAGAAGCAAGCATTATGGGTTATTCCCGGCTCTGTACGGGGACGTCGAAAATCTAACTTCCTGACGCCAGGAACAAGAAAACCGAACCAACGAAAGGTTGAGATGCGAGATGGCTTTCAAAATTTGTCTTGCAGTACATAGTCTTGCAGTTATTTCAATGGCGTACGTACCGGCACAAATGTGCTGGCACGGCACTGGGGAGTCGACTAATAAAGACGAGAGATTACAGCGTACGGTAAACTGTGGGCACAACGCGGACATATCATATAGTGGACATATCGTGAGACGACCGACGTCGGCCACAATGTGTCCTACACGGCACGAAGGACGAAAGACGACGGAGGAGCAACGACGTGTCGAGTGGCTCGCGTATTCCGTACCTTAAATGACGCGGACTTGGTATATTGATCAACGGAGGTCTGGACTCCTCTTCTCATTTATATGTAGATTCGCTTCGTTCTTTGCTCCTCTCTTCCTCGAGACGAGACTTGGCCTGCTTATTGCCGTAGAGCCGGGAGCTTTGTCTTGATTAAAAAAAAAAACTCGAATAAAATGATAATAAAAATGATAATAAAAATGATAATAAAAATCCGTCCCTTCTGTATTACCTTATGGAGTACAAAGCAGCTTCCTCGGCGAATCGCCGAGAAAGCTGAATAAGGACTAAAAGAAGAAGATCACGAACAGAGTCGATGTCCGAAGAATCATCATTTCCAACCTTATGTCCAACCTGTAACCTGTACTCAGTACGTGCGGACTTCGTAGCAAGAATACCGTCGGTACATAAACAAGGAACGTACCTGTGTATCCGCACGTACTTGGCTTTCGACGGTGGAGCGTTTTGCTTCAGATGCAGGGCGGCGAAATAAATAGGCCAATGAGAGGCAGGTGGATCCCAACGAACCAAATCTAAAACGCCACGACCGAAATTCAGGCCTTGATAGCGCGGCCAACCCAATCACGGGCCGAGGTCGGATGGCACTAGCGCGATAAGCTCTTCACTTGAGCCTTGATCGACCTTGTCGTCCTTCGTCCTTGGACTTCGTACGAACATGTATGTACAAGACTTCGTAGTACTCCGTACCGGACGTACTTTGTATGGATACGTTACCGCGTAACCAGTACCGCGCAACTGCGCAACTCAGTAACTGAGTACATAACCAGCGAGGCCCCCTTTTGCCCGGTTAGGCTCCGCGCCGGTCCAGGATTAGGCGACGTTTTGGGTGCATTCTGGGTGTAGTCCAGGCGGATGTAATCGCAAGAACGAACGCGAACGGTGGGTGGGAAAAAAAGTGGCCCCACCCCCTATCAGATCTCGGTACCTTGCTTCGTACCTTTTCTCCACTCGTCGGCCAAGTACCCTTGCAAAAGACTTGGCATCAACAAATGCCAAGCCAGAAGGTCGTCCAAAATGGTGTGAGGAGTGGGCCCGCCATGGCCAGTGCGAGAAGCGCGTAGGTGCCGAGAACGAGTGAGCTTGGCGCACGGTTTTGGTGCTCTTGGCCGTCTATCCTATCGTCATCATCTCCTGACTTTTTGTTCTTCTCTCTGCTTCTCTTGTTATTTCGTTGCGTACCGCCACCACCATCAGGATTCATCACCATCACCACCACTACGAAAATACGTGTAGTGTAGTGAAAATGCTTGACAAGACAGGCCACCATTTCCCAGCAACAAGTGGTGGTTACCTGCTTGCAAAGTACCTACCTTGATGCACGGATGTCTCTCATATCTATGCCTGTTGCCTAAGGTAGGTAGGATGCGCAAAAGTACGGGAGGCTTGCTTTCTTCCCGAACACTGGTTCTGACTCCTTGGGTGCACGGAGTACTTCAATTCATGTATGGTCCAGTACGGATACACGTACGTTGTACGTCTTGCTCTGATTATATGACTTGGTATATGGACTACGTACATACCTTATGTACGTTGTAATTAGTGTGAAACGTTTCCCCTACCGTAGCTATCAGCTCTCGAGGTATGTAAACTTGTCTTGATAGATCCAACCCGGAACTTCAAGTCAATGCCTTTGAGGGGCTACAACAATCTCGGACTCGAAATTCTTTTGTAATCCGTACTCCGATTAATTCCCGTTCTTATACAAAGTGCCATGGTCCTTTGGGAATCTACGAATACCATTTTCGTCGTCTTGAGCAGGGTATCATGGTCGGTAGCGTACGTGTACGGATACGGGGAGACACCTCATGATGTTGGCGTGCTATGTCTTGTCAATGATCCATACAGTGATTACCCTTTCCCGTCTTCCATAATTCACTGTATACTTGAAGCTCAAGTACCTATCGCCTGGATTCCCACCTTACCCATAACACACCACCCAAGCCGGTCACTAATAACCGGACCCACTAACGTCCGATCCGTCGCTGCCACTGGTCAGCCAGCTACTGTACTTTAATATTGTACCTTGCTGCCTCTTGCAGCCCTTTGCCCTTTGCAGCCCTTCCGCAGCTTCTTTCGTGGATCGGACAGGACAGAGCACAAAGTACCTAAGTACTTCGTACATCATACCAGGGTACCCCGTACCTTTCCCTTTACGCCTAGTCCCTCGTCTGTCCAGGTGCATGCGACCTCCACTATCCGTACTTTCTGTGCTTTTCGCATGGGGCACTTGGGCCTTGGTACGTACGTTGTACCTTGGTACAGTCGTTCCATTGCCCTTGCCCATCGCAAGGCTCCATCCACCACCACCTCGAATTATTCGTCCTGGCATCTCTTATCTCCCGGTTTTGTCCCTCCCCAACTCTTCGACTCTTGTTCTTCAACCTCCTTTGAACCCACGGATTCCAACCCACGAACTTATCCTCGACATTACCAGATTACCAGGAATCCTGTCACTTTCCTTTGTGTACCATCGTTTTCAAATCTTTCTCATCTTCTTTCTTACGTCCTAGGGCCTTTCGGTTCTCACTCTATTTTCGCACTATCAAAACTCGACTCTTCCCCGCCTACGCTCCGCCGTATATATTTTCGTATTCCTTTCTCTACACGCCGAGCACTGCCACTATCCGGTCCGTCTCTTGCCATACCGGCTGCCAACATCATCCCCCCTTCTAGTCCACCTTATTGTCAGCCACGAAAACGAGCCGGTGATCGACTGCTTCGAAGCTGAATAAGGCGAACCTCCCACGCATCACCACCATCTCGACGGTCACGCTTGGCTTGTCGGAGATCCTTATTTCCCGTTTCTCACCACATATAATACAGTGACGATGTCTGCTTGATCAAGGACCACGCGAGGTCCCCAGTCACTGTTGTCTAGGTTCGCCTGAGTTCTCGCTGCTCTTGCGCTCATCTCGACTCCTATAACACCCACCCCCGCCTCTTTTCTCGCCACATCGCCCACCCCCCCCGGTTCAATAATGTCGACCTGCATCCAGCTGAATACTTTCACCGTCACTCCTGCGCCATGGAACTGCAGAATTCGTCACAGCCGCACGATCAGCGGCAGGAAGAGGAGCGCCGGCCGACTTTTCAACACCCCAATCTCCACCACATCATCCCCTCGTCTTCCACGCCCCCGCCGAGGACGGCTTCCAGCACTCCCATGACGTCGCCAGGACTCTTTAGCCCGTCCATCCCAGGACTCGGGACTACACACAGCTTGCCCGCTCCATCCGCCTCCGACTCGAACACGCCCACAGGCGAGACGAACAGCCCGTACCTGCACCCTCTGCAGCATCACAAAGTTAGGGAGTAAGTCAAACAATAGCCACTTTGGGCGAGTGCCGGTGTGGGGAGTTTTCCATGAACCGATGGCTCTTCACTCACCCAACAACCACTTGCCTTCTCCCCACTCTCCATGCTAGGGAACAGGCCGTTGACATTCTTTCTTCTCCCACGCAGAACTCACAAAGCCTTGATCGACTCGGACAGCATTACCGGCCGGAAACTCATCAATCAATATGAGGTCATCGAGGAGATTGGTCGAGGTATGCACGGCAAGGTCAAGCTGGCGCGCAATCTGGAAACCGGCGAGAACGTGGCTATTAAGATCATTCCCCGCTACTCCAAGAAACGCCGGCTTGGGAAGGTCATGGCCATGTCCCCCCACGACAAGACCATGCGGGAGATTGCCATTCTCAAGAAGATGCGCCACCCCAACGTCGTCTCGCTGCTCGAAATCATCGACGACCCTGAATTGCGGAAGATCTACCTGATCCTCGAACATGTTGAGCTCGGCGAGATTGTCTGGCGGAAGAAGGGGTTGCCACACATCTGCCAGGTCGAGCGCCGCCGTGTCGAGCGCGAGATGCGAGGCGAGGCCCTCAGCCCCGAGGAGGAACGGTACAACAAGCTCCTGGAACATCGCCATGTCATCAACGAGTTGAAGCGGGCCAAGATGTCGCAAGCCAATGCGAACCCACACGAACACTGGAGCATGGAACACGGCGTGGCCGACGACTCCAGCTATGCCTCGTCGCAGTCCCGCATTCCCTCCGCCGACGATCTCGCCGTCATGTCCACTGCCGCCCGCCGAGGGTCCCCCGCCGGTTCCCTGCTTACCTCGTATGCCGCCACTTCTGGGACACCCTCCGGCCCACCTTCCAGGACGTCCTCTGTAAGGTCCATGGATCGCTTCGCTACCGCTCGCACTTCTCGGATGTCCGTTTCGGACGGCAGCGACATCGAGACGCCGGGCGCCCCGAGATCCAGCAACAACGGCCCGGCAGCAGTCCTCGAAGGGACCATGTACGGCGCCTATATCGAAGAGGGGACCTCCCGCGGCCGGTCGCCCAGCATGGCCGATTCCATCATCTCACACATGTCGTCGGTCGACTGGAGTTCCGCTACGCATGATCCCTTTGCCGAAGATTTCTCCTACGTACCTTGTTTCACCCTCGAGCAGGCGAGGTCCGTCTTCCGGGACACCGTCTTGGGACTGGATTACCTGCACTACCAGGGCGTGGTGCACAGGGACATCAAGCCGGCCAATCTGCTCTGGACCAAGGACCATCGCGTCAAGATCTCCGACTTTGGCGTGTCTTACTTCGGCCGGCCCATCCGCGACGGCGAGCCCGACGACGAGTCTGTTTCCGAGTCGGAAGCTCAGGACTTCGACGACGATCGCGAGCTTGCCAGATCCGTTGGCACGCCCGCCTTTTTCGCCCCCGAGCTCTGTTACACCGACACGGAGCGACAGCTGCCCAAGATCTCGGAGATGATCGACATCTGGTCCCTCGGAGTCACCCTGTATTGTCTGATCTACGCCCGCATCCCCTTCCAGGCCGAGGACGAGTGGGTCATGTTCAGGAAAATCGCCTACGAAGAGGTCTTCATCCCGACGAAGCGACTCCGGCCTGTCGATCCGGCCACTCGCCCGGACGTTCCGTCGCTCTACAAGCGACACAACCAGCCGCCCTACCGGGACGACAACGAGCTCGTCTACGAAGACATTCCTGAATCCCTCCTAGAGCTTCTCCGGCTCATGTTCACCAAGGATCCGGATAGGAGGATCCGGCTTAGGGACATCAAGAGACACCCCTGGGTCCTGGAGGACATCTCGAACCCGTCATCCTGGCTTGAAGAGACCGATCCCGCGCGGCCCTCCCAGGGCAGGAGGGTGCAGGTCGATGCTCGGGAGGCCGCCCACGCCGTTGTTCCCATCACCTTCCTCGAGCGAGCACGATCGGCCGTCAAGAAGGCCGTCGGCAAAGTCATGCACCCTCTGGTCGAACGCAGCGACAGCAAATCGAGGCGCAGGGCCACGAGCAGTGTTGCCAGCTCCGCCGGGGACACTGCGCCGCCCGGGTTCGGTCAGTGGGACCGCCGCAAGAGCTTCAGGGGCGGTGACGATTACTTTTCTAACGTCAAGGACTTTGCCCCGGGCGCCGAGCATCCGCTGTCACAGAGCATGGCCGCCCCATCGTCCGAAGCCGGGTACGATCCCCTGGCCACCGCCGTCCTGCCAACCCATCCGCAGTCGCAACCGCAATCGCAATGGCCAAGCCCGTGGCACAACGAGGCGCGAAGGGTATCACCGGATGATAATAACGCCTTCACCCCGCCAGCCACTAACGAGCTACTAGCCAGTTCTGCGTCGTCTTCGCCGTCGCCCTCGTCAGCCGCTGCCAGGTCCTTGCAACGACACTTCAACTCATTCCTGGCACTAACCCCAGACCCGCCACGCCAAGCGAGAACGGTACCGCCGACGCCTTCCATCACCACCCGTGCCCACGGCAGGGATCAGCACAAGCAGGACGACCTGACCTTCTCTCGCTCGGTCGACCGGGACTTATTCTCCAGCACCGACAAGCGTGGTCAGCCCACGGTCGGCTTGACTGCTGCTCAGGTCCACGTCACCGACGCCATGCACCGAAGTCCCGCACGGCCCAGGCCCGCTCACTCGGTAGATCTGGGCAAGGCCATGGCAGCTGGTCCCGCTCTTGCTTCGCCGCTCTTCTTCTGTCCGCAAGCTGTCAATGGCTACCAGAACGGCCGACTTCAGCCAATGGAACACACTGGGCACCCGGAAGACCGGCCGCAAACGGCGCACCGGGTTCTACATAGCGAAGAAACCCCCGACGCGACCAAGACCCCGCCCCCTGAAACGTACAACACTTCGAGCAATCCGTCCTCGTTCCGCTGCGCAAGGGAAGAGCTACAACGGCAGCAGATTGCCGAGTATGAACGGAGCCTCGTGGACCGGCTGGCAGAAGCCCAGCTCGAAACGATTGTTGATCCAGCTGATGTGCCTTGTCCGCCGTCCCCAGGCGACGAAGATGAACCGCGCTTTTCTCGGGGTACCACCATGGAGACGTGCAAGTCGTCGAGGTCGACTTCGATGGCGGGTCTGGCGACCCCGCTGACCAGCCCCAGCGAGTCGGCTAGCCCCATGTCGTCGGTGTGCCCATCGAAGGAACGCATGTTGCCGTTCCAGTCGGACCCTTCGCTCCCGGCGCTGCTGAGCGGTGCCAGTTCGGTCTCGGCCGAACCGGAAACCGAGCTGCCTGTGAATCCCGCCGCGGTCAGCGCCCGCCCGGAGTTGCTCGACACGACCGAATCGCTCACGCCGCCCGCTCTCACCAAGGAACCCATTGCCGGGTTCCCCATCGAGGACTTGGAGAGGCAAGCCGCGCTGGACAGGAAAGACAGCGACAATGGCGTCATCGCCGTTCAGCTGGACTCGCACCAGCCGCCTACCGACATTGCTTCGTGCACACCAAGGATGCGGCCGTCGGACGAGTACGATGACGACGATGATAGCGACAGCGACGGGGGGTTGCTGATGGCCAAGCCGAAGAAGAAACCGCGTTGACCTGCTGGCGTGGAACACACGTCATCTGCATTTCATACCTACCGGGATGCCAGTGCGTGGTGGCGATCTAGCCTTCTTGGGCGTACGTACATATCTACCGCTGTGTTGCATCGACAGGAGGCTTTGTACATCGGTTTTAGCATCGGAGACATCTGGAACACTTTCACGATTTTCTTCTTTCTCGGATCGCATCGGATACCACATTTGCATCATCACCAAAGACGGCGGGCGACTCAAACGGACAAATTATTATTATTACCCTTCGTCCTCGAGCCCGGACTTTCTCCCACCCCATTTCATACGTTTCATACAGCCGATGGGGGGTTCTCTCGCATACATAACCACTTTTTTACATCTGTCGTCACCCTCGGAACAACGGCACACAGGAGGTGTTGCCAGCATTCGAGGAAGCATGATAGATTGCTATATACGACAAAGGGGCCGGTTTTCTCTTGTTTCTGGTCTCTGGGGCAAAGAGACGATGCCTCACCCCTCCCTTTCTCACTATTATTTTTTTTTCCGCGAGAAAAGGGGGGAAAGAAATCGGTTTGAGCTGCGGCGGGTTGGCATTCTGATTCAGTACGAATAGACGGTTGGTTGGTTTGCTGGTCTTCTCGGCCTGGACATGGAGAGGCACACTACATTGGTACTGGACTTTTTTGTCTTTTTCTCTCTTCTAGCTTTTTCTTTTTTTTTTTTCTCCTTTATTTTCCTATATTTTCTTGTCCCTTAGCTGGCATGGATGGGGAAGCAGGGTGCTTTAGGGGGTGGGGCAATTCGTGATGATTGATGATACGTGGGAGATGATGGGACATGAATATGGGAAACACGGGCCTGAAGGGTCTTTTGAGACTGCATGATTTGCGGACGCCAGCATTAGGGAGGATGGATACTGGATCATGAGCTGGGGAGGGACGTGAGTGAGGTTGAACCTCACTTGTGTGTTAGTTAGTATATGGGGACTGAGAAAGAGCAAATCCCTCCACTCCCACCGGTTATATGCCTTGTACAGGTCTCCTACGGGAGAAGAGTCCCGGAAGCGGGACGGCAAATAAGAGTGTATGAGCCGACAAGCTTACCTTGAACGGAGACATGTGCCTCTGTGAAGTGACCGTTGTGGACCGTCCTGGAGGGTAATAGCCAGTGTCCCTGGCAAAGATCTCTTCGATGACACTGGACTGGTTAAATATGGAAAAAGTGATGGTGGTTGCATGACGAGAGCCGCCTTGTTTGATCATATCCGTTTGGTCATTAATAACTACCTAAGGCAATGGACAATCTATCTACCAAATCCTGTGTTGTATGTGTTATATATCCATTTGCATCCTTGGCCATCCAGGCCAGTGCCAGGGTGACAAGAGTGTCCGAGTCCTTCCTACATCATCTCCTTCGCTAAAGGCCCTGGGTAACAATGGAGTTTTGTTGCTAGACATGATGGTAATTGAGCCTGTCAATCATAGATCATATCCCTATCCAAATCGTGTATTCATCTTCATAGTTGGTGATACTTCAGCAGAGGAGTGAGATGAAGATCAAGGGACAAAAAGAACAAAAGAAATAAAAAAATAAAAAATCATAGCTCCCGCTCAATATCAGTCTGTTCTTCCACAACTTGCTCCTGCTGCTTCTCCTCCCCATCCAAGGAAGATTCATCCAGAATAGGATCGGCCTCCGGGACCATACGAGGCTCCTTGGCCGGGGCTTCTTCATCGACCTCGACCTCGACCTCGACTTCGGAGATCTCTTCAGAGAGAGGGATTGAACCCGACTGAGATTCTGGTTCGGGCGAGGAGGGCACGTCTTCGCAAGGCGGGGACCGAATGGGATCTGACTCGGACGAGACGGGGGAGGACGACGACGAGGACGACGCAGAAGAAGAGTCGGAAGGGGCAGTTGGGATATCAACAACCTGCTTCTCAGCCGACTCGGTGACGAAAGCCTTGACGGTTTCCGTGTGGGTGACCGTCTCGATTATGCGGACGACCTCGCGAGTCGTAATGGTTTCATGAACGACGGGAGGGCGGTCTGGCTCTTGCTGGGACGATGACTGCTGCTGTTGTACTTGTCGTTGCTGTTCCTGTTGCTGGGCCTGAGACTCTTGTGCGGCCTGTTGAGGCGGGTCATACTGTGGCTCCTCCTGTCGCTTATTTTCCGGCTGCGAATTTATCGCTTCCTCCTCGGCCTTTACAAGAGGCTCGTCATGCGACTCCTGCGTCTCGCGAGGGTCAGCGCTAGCAGAGATGCTAGCGACGCTGGATGTACTCGAAGAGGAAGCAGGAGATTGAGGGGGAGGATCTTGTTCCGCATGTGACACCACCAGAGTCGATGCAGACGCCGAAGTAGACGCGGAAATCGATACCGCGACCGACTTTTCCACCGGCGCATGACGCCTCTCAAACTCAATCTCTGCATCGACGCCTTCGTCCCTTACAAAAGCGGCAACAGGGGCCCGGCGAGGCTCGGCAAAGACCCCATCCCATTCCCTCATCCGCGGCTCGACCGTGGGCGGACGGATGGCAAGGAAGAGAACCAGAAGACCCATCAGCAACAGGGCGACGTTCTTGCGATCCTGCAGGAGGACGCGGACGGCTTCGAGGAGAAGTTCCGGGAGCGAAGCCGACTGCAGATGGGATGAAGCCGCTGCGTGTTGTGGGTGTCTCGGCGGCGGCGTCGAATCGGTCGACGTAGCGTGATCGTGAGCGTGATCGTGAGCGTGAGGGACGCCGTCGCTTCGGCGGGTCTCCCGGCGTGCGCGGGCTTCTTCCGATGGAGACGACGGCATGTATGACGAGGAGGAAGGGGGCAGGTCTTGTGGGGGCGGGGCTTCGGGTTCGATGCGATGTGATTCGGGTGGCGGAGGCGCGGCGGCTTGCGTGACGGCGCGGGTTGCGGTGGGGGGAGGACTCTCGCCGTATATTTCGCGGAGGCGGGCTTCCTCTCGGCGACGGCGCTCTTCCATCTGGTCGTGGCGCGACATGGTGGAATACGGCGGGGAAACGGACGTATCCTCTATCGGAAGGGGAGGAGAGGAGGCTGGAAGGTATTCGCCATAGGATGGCTCTCTCTGATGGCGGTGCGTTGTCCGCTGTAGTGAAGTCGTCTCCATGGAAGGCGTCGACTCAACAGCAGCAGCAGCAGCAGTAGCACCACCAGCAGCAGCAACAGCAGCAGGTTCACCTTCAGCATCAGCCTCAACCATGTCAGAGTCGAAACCGGTCCTCGTCAGGGCCTGGGCGCCTTCTTCGGCCTCCCGCTGCTGGTCGAGGGCCAACCGTTGCAGCTCGTCCAGCAGGTCAGGCTCGACGATGGGCTCGAGCTCGACGTCGACGCGCTCCATCTCCTTCCAGCAGGCGGACCAGGCGCCTGCACGCATGAGGCCGTTGCTCGCGTAGACCTTGACGTGGAACAGCTTGCCGGGCCCCAGGGATTCGTAGCGGATATCGTGGTGGCAGGTGGTGCACCAGTGGGTCTGGGCAGCGCCGGAATGGCGGCCATGTCGGAAAGAAGAGGAAGAAGTGCTCTGCCGCGTCGACCGACCGTCGCCGCCCCCATCTGCGTCGTCATCGCTGTCCCAGTCCTCGGTCAGGATGTGCTCGTTGGCCGGGCCGAGGTAATGGCCGCATTCCAGGATGCGGGCACGACGTCGCAAGGGCAGGTCGAGGGCGTCGAGCAAGCGCTCTTCCAGGACCTCGTAGTCGGCTTGGGGATGGGGCAGGAGAATGCCGCGCTCGCAGACGGTGTCGCCCAGACGGTCATGCAGGCGACGCCAATTGTCCCGCAGGGCCTTGGCGGCGGGGGAGAGAGCGTCGGACGGCGCGGTCTCGAGAACGGAGGCCCAGGGCCAGCGAAGGGGGAGAAGGGTGGCGTGGAGTAGGACGAGAGGCGGTGTAACCTTGCGAGGCTTGAGACGGGACGGCGTGGTGCGGCCTTTGGGGGAGTACTGGGCCGAGGCGGAGGGGCTGCCGAGGCGGGAGCCAGCGGGGGGGAGGTGGGAGCGTTTGTTGGAACGAGGCGAGCCGGAGAAGATGGATGGGGCGGGGGAAGACAGCTGGATGGCACGGACGTCGGACGGGGTGCGGAAGGGGACGCGAGGACGGCCGCGGATGGTGGGGACGAAAGGCTCCTCTTCATGGTCCTCGTACTGGGAGATGTCGGAGATTCGAGGCGACCTAGTCCTAGTCCGCTGGGTCATGGTGTCATGGCGGTCGCGGTGATGACTGGAATAAGCATCACTCCTTGTGCTAATATCATGAAGGTCATCTCCGGCATCCTTGAGGCTCGTCCTCCCGTCGAATGAGCCGAGGGAGCTGCGAACACTGGGGTTGCTGCGCTCGCTGAAGACGTCCGACTCGGCTTCGTGATGAGATGAGCTGTCTCCGCCGCGGTCTTCCTCGTGAGCTGCAGCACTGGCGGCCGAAGAGATGACGGAGCGTGGCCTGCTGCGGTTGACACGTACGCTGCCGTCCTGGGACTGCGAGGCATACGAGTCCCGATCTCGACGGTCGGGGTTCGGGTCGCTAGCAGCGCCGCCGGTGGTATAGCTGAGCTCGGTACCCACGCCGATGGCGGAGGAAACAATGGAGTCGCCGTCACCGCTTTGACTGCAGCTGTTGTAATCCGTATCGCGTTGGCGCTCGATCTGGTCGACCACGGCCCGGGCGGCAGCTTGGATGAGAGCGTCGGTACGGCCGGAGACGACACGACGAGAAGAGGATGACGGTCTCGAGGTGTCATCCGTCTGGGTATCTGGTTCTGGATTTTGTTCTTTCTCGTCCTCCTTCATTGTTTCATCTCCACCGACGTCGACTGTCGTCTTCTCGAACCCCGATGTAGCTTGATTATTGGGGTCTTCGTTCTCGGACATGTTCGTAGCAGCGGTAGTTTCGTCGTCAATGGGAGCACTTAGGCATGAAGGGTCGACGTGAATCTCGAAGTCGTGGTCATCTGATTTTGGTTGGGGCATTGGAAGTCGCGGTCGTGGTCGTGGACTGGGCTGTTGACGTGTGATGTGTCGTGTTATGTCGTGTTACCCGAGTGATGTTGTTGATGTCGCTGCAGGCGGCGGTTGTCCGCAGCAACGAGGAGGACGGCGGCAACCCGGGAAAAGACGCAACGGTTGGTTTAGAGTGAATGCGAGGTGGGGGATGCAAATGCAAATGCAAGGTGAAGTGGACGAACAGGTGACGGTGAAGAAAGATGAAGAAAGACAGAAAGACAGAAAGGCGGAAGGACGGACCTTCCAGGTTGTGGCTGGCCAAACTTTACCAAAGTCTCCGACTTCGATCCCTCGTGACTTGGTGACTTGCAAATTGATGGTGCTTTCTCCAAGGTAAACGTACCCCTAGGCTCCCCTGTACGAAGCTGCTACAAAGTGGCAGTGGAAGTCTCATGAGGGCGAGGCAGGCGGCACCCCTGACGCAGTTGCCTTCACCCTTTGTTTACTCTTGTTGCCGGGTCAATGTGACATTGACATTAACAACGTCAATGACCAATGACAGCTCAGTCTAGAGGCCCAGCTCCCAACCCCGACTATTTCATCGATTCTCTTTCTCCAGCCAAATTTCACGAAATATCAATCATCGAAACAGTTCTATCTTTGATCCTCACGAGTTTTCTCTATGATTGTCCTTCATTCCGTTTAAACTAGCGGCCTTTTGTATAATGGCTTTCAATCCGAGACAACACATTCCTCTTCTCGGTTCGAGGTCATTGTTGCATTATGTTAGTCAGCTTTAGTGTTAGTAACTACCTTAGTGCTTCTACCTAAGGTAATTACGTGATGAATCGGTCTCAGGTTGGATACCTCATAAAGAACGTGGATATCAGTTATCCGTAAGGGTGTAAAAACTATCATGCAATGGTCACAATCACGACTCGTTGCTGTTGGTTCCTCGTCTTCACCACGTGGATGCAACTCGCCATCTGGCCATGGGAGAATCATTCCAGACCACCCCGACCACAGATCGAATCTTGACCGTCGAGTGCCAACTACGACTTTGTAAGAGACGAGACGTCCGATGCCTTCCTTGTCCTCCGGTCCACTGCCGTGTATTGATTACCTGCATAAGTGGGTGCTATCTTCCACAGGAAGGCAGACGGATCGGGGAGACACGGCATCCCCGGCGGGTGTACGACTCTCTGTACACGTGTACGACGTCCTCTACACCTCTGTACGCCTGTCCGCACGTGGGCTTGCCGATGTCCGAACCCAATTCTCCGGGAGGGAATAAATAGATCAGCACGCATCCATCAGCATCCATCTCACTCAGAGGAGAGGGCGCAACGACGCAAGGTGTGGACGTTGAGTGTGTGCCAACTCGGCGAGGTCTGCTTACTCTTCCTCCCGAATAGTTGTGGCTTGGTGGCTTTTGCCGTGCCGGCGCGGAGCTGACCACCAGCCTCCCCGAACGTTTTGCCCGACTTCCGTTGGGCAAAACGTTGAACGATGTCTGCCATTGCCAGCGTTAAAGTAGCCGGAGCCGAGCCACCTCGGAAAAAGGCAAAAATACGGTGGCTAATACTATCGGCCAGTGCTGTAATTTTATTGGGCGGACATCAAACTCCGGTGCAATCAGTTCTTTACGCCTACCTACCTAGGAAGGTCGTCAATGGAGTCGAGAACAAAAGGACTAAAGAAGAAAATCAAAATAGTGGACAGCGGCAGGTGAATTAGTCTTGATTATTACACCGGATGCGAATATCGTAACAGCGGGAGAAGAAGAGAAGAAAAAAAAAGGCCCAAGGCAGCCCAAATCCCAACCGAATCAGGCCAAGTCCCAGCCATCATCTCAAGAGATCCGTCTCCCATCGGCCTCTTTTCTTCTCCCCTTCTTCCCCCAGGGCTTTGCAAATGTACCATGCATTCATGAAACCGTACAGCGTTTTCTTCCATTTTTTTTTGGTGTCTTTCTTCACAGTCGTAGTAATGTAACAACAAGGACTTCTCCAAGCCGCCCCAATGTCTGTCTATGCCCTGTGAGAAAAGGAAAATTGAGAGAGAGGAAAAAAAGAAAAAAGAAAAGCTGCCCAACCCCCTGACGTTGCTCCCCCACGAGTCGAGGACCACATTCATGTACAATCATCGAAGCGATGATCGCCGTAGTCCCTCGCCGGGCCGCAACATCAGGGACGGAATGGAAGGGATCGTTGTGTTCTCCAACTTCCTCCACCACTTCAGCCTCGCTTGTCCATCACAGACGAGCCATTTACAGGTCCTAGAGCGAGAGATGTTAGCATGACGATTGGATGACCGAGTTATGGCGGGGAGGGGAAACATACCTCGCAGTAGTCGATGGTGGTGGTGACGGTGACGGTAGGAGTAGGGGCGGTGGTGACCGAGGCGGTGATGCCCCAGCAGTCGCAAGCAGAGGCGTAGCGGACCTCGTCGCAAGAAGAGGCGTAGGCAGGGACGGCGGTGGGGACCTCGGTGGCCTGGCGGGCCTCGACCTGCGCGTTGCGCTTCAGCTTGGCAACGGGCTCAGCGGTGACGGTGACGGTGACGGTGCTGGTGAGAGAAGACATGTTAGTTCAGTGTTCAGAATCCTGTGCCTGTCGTCTTCCGTCTCTGAGCTCTCTCGTCTTGGTCTTTCATGTCTGCGTGTTGGTTGTCCTTGGGATGATGACAAAATGCTGTCGTGCTTTGTCGTGTCCGCCTTTTTTTCCACATTGCATCCCTCCGTATTCCAAGGTCCAGAAAAGGCGGATGGAGAGAACATGGAGACGAGAAGACAGAGGGGAACGGTGAACAGTTGAACGGGAAGACCTACGCAGCCTCGGGGGTGACGGTGGTGAGCTGGAAGCTGGAGCAGTCGGCCTGGCGCTCGGTGATGGGGAGGAGACCATCACGGGTACCGGTGACCTGACGGTTGCAGTTGTTGCCGGCGCAAGCGCGCTTCTCGAGGACGGAGCCAAGAGCGACGGTGGCGAGGGAGAGGATAACGGCGGCCTTCATCTTGATGGATTTGTGGGGGTTTGGTAACGTTGATTAAACACGTCAAGTCAAGGTCGATCGACTGAGGTCCTGAGAGCGAGGGAGGCTGAAAGTCTGCTAGGAAGTCGGTGATGGGCAGAGAAGGGGAAGGGAAAAGGGGGGGAGTGCGGGAGGAGAGGACGGTGGATGCCCTCATATATAATAACGACAATGGGACCTGGGACGGCGAGCATGATGGATGGGTGGGTGTAGGAGTGGATGGCTGCGTTGGTTGGGGCTGGTTCGGTACCAGCCGGTAGGCTGGATGTCCCGTCTCTCGGTTCTAGGCTTAGGTGCCTCCGGGAGAATCGGGTACCTGTCCTGTAGGTAAACTGAGCAGGCAAGGTACCTTACGTTGCACTTTCAGCAGGCTGCATGGCAGCATGGCAGAGGGTACGGAGTACGGGACGCTAAGGATGAATGGAGCGGGATGGGGAACGGTGAGTGGGCACTGGGCACTGGGCACTGGGCACTGGGGACGGGGGTGGGAGGCGCAGTGCCACGAGCTCTGCCCAGTAACTACCTAAGCTGATGTGGGACCACGGTCTTCAACTCCTTTGCCCAGAAGGAGGGGAGGTGGGGAGTGGGGAGGGCCGCTGCGAAGGGCCAGCTTGGTATTAATTACATACGTTGTATTCCATGCGCCACGGAGCATGGGATAGAAGGGGAAACAAAACGGAGAACAGCGAAAAAGGGGAGGAAACGGCGAGTCGAATCGACCGACCCAAGCGAGGGACCAGGGATAAGGAACAAGGGCCAAGGGCCAAGGGGAGAAGGAAGCGTGAGCACGGGTCCCGGTCGGCGGCGGAAGAAGTACATACAGCGCACCTACCTACCTAGGTAAGGTAAGTAAAAAGAAGAAGAAAGCCCGAGGAGATGATGCGTGTTAGTGCTGTTAGTCAGATGCTGCCGCTGCCAGTTACCAGTCCCGTTGTAAGGTACCTCCTCCACATGCATCTGCTTGCTTCCTTCGCCCCTGTGGCCCGCTCCACCGCACCGTAACCACCTAATCAATTACGGAGCACGTTGTACGGAGTACGTACATGCTCCACGACGTCTCCACTCTTTCGGCTTTGTTCCTCCCCCTTGCGGCTTGGTGGTGTTCCTGGGCGCGCAGGATAATCCGGCAACGGGACCCAAAGTCGGTTCGGCCCAAACCAAAATAGCTTATCCGGTGGGCTTTCCCACCCTATCAGCGTCCCGGACATCCGCATGAGGTCGCATCCGTTACATACACGCAGATACAGAGAAAGGAAGAGGGCTGCCCGCCCAGCCTTGTTCTGCAGGTCCAGGGCCGGGGGAGGGAGGGCTTGACTCAATGGAGACTCGTCTAAATCGGGGTGCTTTTTGCGGACGAGGGAACTCGACAATGGAGGGTGACGGAGAGAGAGGCATCTGAAGCACAATTGATTTTCCTTGCAGAGCTGACAATCAGGTCCGTTGGAATACTGCGTTTGTTCGTAATAACCGTCTTTCAGACCCGGACTGTGCTATTCGATACGAGGTGTAATTATGTATTCCCCTATACACGTAATTGGGACTATGATACCGCATATCGCAACGGGTTGGTGGCACTATTGATTTTTCTCTTTTTGGCGGGACGGCAATGTGCCGCTTGGCAGATCCGCCACCCCGTCTTTTCCTCTATCCATCGTCCGAGAAACCCGATTCGAATCGAAGGGGTTTGTGCATTGTGGTACCTGTTTTTGTGCAAAATTAATTAATGATTCGGTCGAAAAATATAATGCAATGCGTCAGGGGCCGCATCATTGACTGAAAAGAGGCGAGTCGGATGCAGCAACCGAAAGAATCAGTACATGTAGGAGAATGCATAGAGGGGCTTGGGTGTAATGTCGGGTAATTGGGAATGATAGGTGCCTTTTACTTAGCTAATGGGGGAAAGGGGCCAAGAGTGCGCAAGGGGTTTGTACGGGGTACGAGTACAACATAATTACGCGGTACGGATACTTCGAGCGGATGGGTACAACGTAAACATACGAATACAATGGGGATGACAGGGTCATACCAATTATAAGCGGGTGAATAGGAAGCGTCAAACTGGATGGACAATCAACGTCCGGGCTGGAAGAGGGCTCCGTCAGCTCTCAAACGGACCAACAAGAAACAAGACCAAGAAACCGTTTCCTTGCTCATGCTTGGTGCGTCATCGACGATACGGTGTACATATGTACGGTGGATTGATCTCGCAACAATATCCACCGGGGAGAATAGCACCCAACTGTCTGGATCAGTGTTACAGTGCTATGGTTAATAAGTCGGTTATGTCGTGGGTGAATTGAAGAAGAAGCTTGAAGAATCCTGGGGTACTATCATATAGCGCTGATCTCCGTCGTATTGTCTTACCTACCCACCTGCTTCGATCACACATGGCTGCAATGACCCGTCCGGAGTACATGAACTAATACTTCGGACTTCGGAGATCGTTCTTGGAAGATCGTCACTATGTACGCGGATCTAGGCACTGATCAACGGAGACTCAGCCGAGCTCCTATCCTCTGCTCAACTTATCTCCTTGACATTCTTATTCGTATTGACGTACAACGTAGTTCGCATTATATACCATACCAGCTTCTTCTCCTTTTGTTGCCCCTTTATCTGTGTCATGATTGGCTGATAGCCCTGACCGTGATACTCGACGGATAACGGATACCTTAAGCATTACCGAGTCGCTTATCTGCTATCACCGTTTCCAACGCGACTGGCAGACGTTAGTTCTTACACCGTTCGGTTTGGCGCGAGGTCGAAGAAGAAGCTAATGGATGATTGATATGTACCCGCGCTAGCGTTCTTCCATTCGTGGTACTGGTTCATCTCGATTCAAATTACAGGTAAGGTAAGGTCGTGTATCCCAAATTACCTCTTTATGCTTGATCTCGGTCTCGGCCGCTGTATCTACGTACGTTGTATGTACAGAAGGTACTACTTTATTTACCTCGTTTCCCCAGATAACGTCGTGAGGGGACAGGGGTATCCATACGCCGTAACACCGGCTCATACATAATGCTAATACCAGCTAAACGCGCTTCAAAGGTTCCGAGCAACGACTGTACTTGGTACTAACTCTCACATTCCCACAATGACTCCCAGCGGCACCGCTTTCTTACTTGGCTTCCTTTTGTAAAGCCGAGGCAGCATTACGAAATAGAGCGCCCATGAGGCACAGGTAACGTCAACATAACGTACGTCGTCCTCACCCACCTGCCTCTTCCCACTCTTCCCACTCTTGTCACGGTACTTTCGCCGTGAAGCCTAGGACGCTTTTGACCTAAAAAGGCAGGTTGGAGACTGATCCACCGAAATGGGCGGGCGGGGAACCCTACACGTGGGTAGGTACACTACTTCGTACTCCGTTCTACGTACCGTGTACAACGTACATCAACGTACCGATATTCCGTTTGGCCCTTTGGGACCGTTACCCTTGATCAACTCGTTCCACCGCCCACTTTGCTAGACTCGAACTGCTGACCGACCCAACTCGTACTAAAAAGGCCCCTGGTCCCCGTCTCTTCTTTCGATTTTGACCCAGTTCATCAACTCGTCCATTACGGATTCGCGACTTTCGCACGTGGAGACGACCATTACCTTACTTTCTCGTCTAGGTACTTCATAGTAAGTACGAAAGCTCGCCCACGTTTTGATTTCTCGTATCGTCCCGAATGCAATCGTCGTCTTCTCCCCATGTGAACGAACGAAGGTGAGCCAGAACAATCCAAGAAGCCTTCTAGAACCCCCCACCCCCGGAGCACGGCCAAAACACGTGGGACCAGCCACTCCAAGAATGTCATAGTACAAAAGTACGGAGTAGAAAAGCACGTGTTGCACTGCACGGTGGGCACGACTTTTGTCGTCCACCTTCCTTGATGAGGTAGCGTATATAGTGCGTGCTGCGAGGGCCGTGATGCGTCACATCCACGTTTTGTCTCATTATCGCTTCGCTTTGCAGCGCATTTGCCCTTGGGTGCATTGGCGATATTGGCATGGCCCCTCTTTCTCGGTTCCTGCGAACCTCGACCTCCTCTCACGACACGTGCTCGAAGGACGGTTGCTCCATGTCGTGAGGCTGCTTGGATTTTGCATTCTGCATTCTTCTCGCGAACTGGACGTATATACCCGGGCTAGCCCATGTCGAAAGGAAGAGTTAGCTGATCATCAATGGACGGACGGGTATCATTGCCCAAGCGACAATCGTGCCCCAAGACGAAGGAGGGGAAAAGGAGGCAATGATAAATGAAGATCCGGCCCACGGCAGGCTCCTGTCATGTTGTGACAGCTGCATAGTCGGAGGATTTCTCTTCTCGCCGCCGTCATTCGGGGATCGACTGGTATCATTGTCGTGGGAACTCTGGGGTACAGAAACGGTAAGGAGACACGGTTCCGGCGCTCGCTGGCCCAGGGGACCTCGAGGAAAACAAAAAGTTGAAACGGCTTTCTTCAACATACCACGTATGTACGGCACGGCAGTTCGTTCAACCTGTGGTCAGTCGAGACTGCGGCACGTAATTAATTATTTCTCCATCCACCTCCGGTCGGCAAGTGAAGAGAAAGATTTCAATACCAGCGGCATCGTCTGTTTTCCTTGTTCAACTACTACTTACATCAACTTATCTATTGCTGTTTCTTCCCCGCATCCTCACTCTCTCCCCCAGATTCTCAGGTACCTCCCAATGTTTGGCTGTTGCTGGTACGTTCGGCGGCTAAAGCCCCAGCCCCTTTTAGGGTCCGGTCCTTACAGCATACATGTGGAAAAGCCCTAACGGAACAACGACCCCCGGGGCCGGCGACCCCATCACTGCATCGCATCGGCGTCAGTGCAACCGTGCCAGCACAAGATTGAATCTCACCGCATCGCCCCCCCTAGACAAGTACGAAATACGACGTATCCGTGCGGAGCGCTAATACGGATACCAATATTGCGTTAACTACGTTGTGTGTACACAAATACTATAGTAAGCATGAATCAATATATATGTCCATATTGGCGACGCGAACCGAACCAGTCAACTCCTCGTCCGGGGTTTCCCCGAAATCCCGGTCGTGTTGCCGACAGACAGGGGGCCGCCTGATTCATCCCGCTCGGCTAGCCCATCGACCAGGGACGGTTATATTCAGCGCCCCCGGATCTAGAAGTCTCGTCCCGGAAGCAGGTTGGGCTGTGGTAATATGTATGTAATTCCGCTTAATTATTGACACGATCTAGGCAAATCATGGGGAAGAACGGGGAAAATGGGGAAATGGGGAAATGCAACGCGGCAACGGTTACCTAGACAGCCAGGCACAGACAGAGACAGGCACAGGGGAATGAAACGCATGGACGCACAGAATGGGAATACCTTACAAGGCCCACTGCTAAGAGACCAGCACTCCTGCTAAGATGCCGCAGATAGATGATGCCGTGTGAGGTGGCCTGCGTTGAATGTGTGGAGTTGGTACGCGGATATTCCGTCCGTCTTACCCTGGGTGATGGTTCGTTCTCAGTAGAGCTACTTAAGGATGCATTCCCCTTCCATGATGAGGGTGAATTAAAGGTGAATCAAGGTTGAATATCATTGCGAGCCGTTTGTCTGCTCTCGTAAGTCTGAACGTGGTATCTATATATCGAAAAGAAAAGGCAAAAAGAAAAGAAGAAAAGAAAATAGAAATAGAATCCAAAAATAATATCCAGTTGAACGCCATGCTGTGCTTTGCTATGCATCATTCTGTTGTACATACCATACCCTGCCATTCTCCCAGAATGCCGACTTCGTCATCACCAAAATCAGTCAGAATCATGCCTCCCGCCGACCATCTTGCGACGGTTCCCGACTGCTCTCCAACCCCACGGCCGTCTGTCCGGCGAAATTGTCCACTGGCCCGTAGTGTCCATGTCCGACCACCTCGCCAGCCTCAGCCACCACACTCAGCGTCGCCTGACCCGCCACGGAGCTCTCGCTCCTCCCTCGCCCCTCGTTGCTGCGCCTCCGCGCCGCAGGCGGTGGTCGGCTCGTCGCCGGCACGGCAGGCCCGCTCACGGCGCTCACAGCACTACCGCCCCCCGATCGGCGGTGGGCCTCGTTGGGCGAAAGCGTCCCGTCGGCAGGTAGTTCGGGCATGACCGAGCTGTCGACGCCGTCCAGCTCCTGCGGCGTACGCGCCCCGGGGGTCCCCCCCACCTCGCTGTTCATGCTGTAGTCGCTCCCGTCGCTAAAATGCCGCACGTGTCCGTAGCCCTGGGTGTAGCCGTGGCCCTGCGTGCTCTGCGAGTCGATGCTCTGGCGGTTGTTGTTGTTCGCCGTGCTGTGATGACTGCCGGCGAGCCATGACGGGCCGGATTGCTGGCTCGCGCGATGCGCCCGGTCGGGCACGACGTCGAAATAACCCACCCCGCTGCTGCTGCTGCCCGGGTACGTCGAATCGTAACTCATGTGGCGGTCGCGGTCCGGCACCGCTTGGTAGCTTCCTCCTACTCCTCCTCCGCCTCCTCCATGGGCCACCGGACTCGGTGTCGGTCGAGGGAGGGAGCCGATGCCGATGCCCTCCGAGTCGGAGTCGGCGCGGCGGTGGCAAGGACGCGGCGACGACATCATCATCAGCGGATCGACGCTCTGGTCGTCGAGCTCGGAGACGGCGGGTTTCTCGGAGCGGTAGGCCGTCTGGGTTTTCGTGCCGTTGGAGTGGCGGGTGGTTCCTTGCTTGGACTCGACGGCCCTGACTACCTTGTTGAGACGGCGCATGATGAGGAAGGCGGCCACGAGGACGATGACGAGAAGGGCGACGGCGCCGACGACGATGCCTGCGATTTGACCGGTCGTTACCCCCCCACCACCGCCGTCGTCGCCACCAGCGCCACCATCGTCGTCGCTGCTGTCGTTGTTGGATTCGACGATTTCTGGCTCCACCTTGGACACCGAGCTTGGATAGAATTTAATCACGACCTCTGCGTCGTCATCAACCTCCGTGGGTCTCGCTGTGGGTGGGGATGGCGTCGAAACCGTCGTCTCCGTCTCCGTCTCCGTCGTTGTTATTTCCGAGTCGGCCGAGTCGGTCGTGGTGATCGTTCGGGTTATGGTATAGGTGGAAGGCTGGGTCGAGTAGCAGGCGTTGGACGCGCAGCCCATGCCGTCGCGACAACATCCGTAGTTTAGCGAGGACGGGCAGAGGAAGTAGTTGGTCGGACAGGATTGGGAATAGGAGACGCCCTGTGGTGCGCGACAGTTGTCTCCTCGTTCGCAAATGTATCCTTCCGGACAGCAACCCCCTGGAGAACGGCACGACAGATGTTAGGGCGGCGAATGACAACGACGCAGGGGGAGGGGGGAGACGTCAAGGGGAAGCACAGAGTTTTCTACTCACCTCCGACTTCAGGCGCACAGGCGTAGTAGCCTACTCTGCCAGCACATGTCTGTGGCGCTCTGGTGGAAGCGAAACATGATTCTGATGCGCAACCGTAGCCGCTCGGGCAGCATCCTCCGTTAAGGCTGGCCGGGCATAGGGAGTGGTTGGGCGGACAGGAGGAGGAAGAAGTCATGTCGCGCCTCTGAATGTTGTGGATGATGGTCACATGCGTCTTTTCCACCCGATGAACTCCGTCTACCCTTTTGACATCGACCGCCACTGCCGGAGTTGTGCAGACGCTGAAAAGTAGCGCAATGGCGCAGTGGGAACATGCGCGCAGTGAGGGCATGGTAATTTCGAAGGGGGGGGGGGCCTTCCTTTACCCACGAGACTGCCGAGGGTCGTTGCGAAAGAAACGAGACGTATCGGCAGTGCTGGTAATCATAAGGTAGGCGCACGGGTGGGTGATAAAGGCGACTTCCGAAATAGGCGGGGAGGGGCCGGTGACGAGGGGAGGGATGATGAGATGTGGACGAGATGCCTCAGCACTCCTTTGTCTCGGTCTCGGTGATTCGAAGGAAAAGAGAAAAAAGAAAAAGAGGAGAAAATAAGAGAGAAAGAAAAGATGCTACACAGAACTGCAAGAAATGATGACGAGAACCAGAGGATTTGCCGCGGGATGTCAAGATGTGGATGTCAAGATGTGGATGTCAAGATGTGGATGTCTGGATGAGGAGGGACGATAAGGTGAGATGTCAGGTCGAAGGTCGAGGTCGAGGTCGAGGGGCCACCACGGTCGGACACTACGGAGTCTACACCCAAAGAGGCGGGTCATCCCGAAGCTGTCGACCCAGCCGTTTTGGGGGCTGAGCACCAGCGCTATGCTAAGCTAAGCTGTGCTATGTTAATTATAAGCAGCGCCACTCAGATTCTGCAGTACATATACATAACGTAGGATTCCCCCACGGTACGAATAGGCTACCATTCTTTGTACCTCGTACTCGTGGAGAGGGACACCCCACCCGTTGAAACCCAAAGACACGTTCCTTGGGTCCTAGTGTAAAGCTCACACCGAGTAACACTGATAGTCGCAGGTTTAAATTGAACTTTTTATTTTATTCCAATATTAACGATTTATTTGGGGTCTTTCGATGGCTTTGTCCCCAAACCAAAGTCCCGTCCCGTCCCGTCCGCGGTTAAGTGATGACGTAATCAGCGCCGAGTCAACTACACGTAAACTGTCAAGGTCCTTTATTTGTCGTTGGTCAGGTCGAATACCCCATAATTAGCCCTCTCTTCTCTTGTCGGGCTGGACGAAGTAGTCCTCCTATAGGTCCTCCCAATTCTAACAAAACCTAAAGGAGGGATAAGAGAATAAGAGACTTATGTATATCACTCTTAATAGCGTCCGCGTAAGAAAAGCAAAGACTTATCGTATATACCTTTATAACTTAGGTAGCCAGGCAGGGCACTACTAAGAACGACGGCAACAAGACTAGTACGAATACCAATAATAGAAAAGAAGGAGGCCATGCCCGCCCACAAGGCTTTCGTTACCATCGTCTGATTTTATATACTGATGATCAGGAGTGGTAGTTGTCGTAACTATTGACACCGAGAGTCCAGTCGGAATATCCTCACCCATATATACCCAATTCTGTCAAGACTCCAGACAACCCGGCCTCCTATACCTAATGCCAAACATGCTCAACAGACTGTGTCCCTGTTCCCAACAAGTTTTCCCCACCAAACAGAAAGGAAGCAAAAAAACGAGAAAGAACATCTCAATCAAACAAGATGGACGCCCAGCCCCCCCCCAAACATCCCATTCACACCACACCGGTTCACCCAAAAACAATAGTAACGCCCATATCCTCGCTTACCCTCCGCCACAGGTCCGGTCCCACGGTCAACCCCGCGCGCCTGACGTTCCGCGGCAGATCCGCCACCCCTAGACTCCCCTCCCCATCCATGAAATCAGACCGCCGCCACACTTCTTGGACGATGATCCAGCCCCTCTCGATGTTCGTCATGCCCTGACGTTGATCGATGGCTATGAACGCCTGCCGCGCGAGCTCCCGGTCCTCGGCGCTCACCGCCTCGCAGGCCGCCACGAACAGCGGCCAGAGGAGCGCCGCCACGGGTCCACCACGGGTCACCGTGGCGACGCAGTGCCGTAGACTGATATGCGTATGTCGCTGCACCGACGGGTGGTTCCTCGCATGGCCGTGGATGGTGCGGTACAGGTGCACGAAGGCGCTGTGCCGGTAGGCCAGCGCATTGTGGAGGACGCTCTGCAGGTGGGCGCTGTCCGGGGTATGGAGCGGGGATGGCCCGGCCCCCATGGTGGCGCCGTCATAGACGCCAAACTCCCCGAGATGGCACCCTGGCGGCAACGACGGCCGCCAATTCTCCAAGGCTGATTCGACGGCGTCCGACGTCGTTTGAAACTCGGTTCGGAGGACGGCCAGTTTAGCCGTGTTGAGAGACGGTGCCGCTAGGGCGGATTCGAGCTCGTTCTTCAAGGAGAGGAGGTTCGACAGACGGTGGAGAATGGGCCACAGGGTGGTGGAAAGACCCAGGAGAGTATCGACGCTGTTGGATGGGCTGGTGTCTAAGGGGTCGAGGTTAGGCACAGGGTGCAGACAGCCGGCAGCGGGAGCTGTCGATATGGGTGCTTTGCCAAACGAAAGGGCAGCAATCACGTCGTAGAACCGGAATGCCTGAGCTCATTGTGAGTATTGTGTTTTCGAGGTCATTGGTGTTTGCTTGACCAATATATATAGATATATACCAGGGGATAAAAAGAGTAAACATACACGTTCCAGGAATGCGCTTGTTGCTGTGGGTGCCTGGTCGTTCTGGGTCATGACGGTCATGGCACCTTTCAGATGCCCGTCCACAATGTTGGAGCGGCCCCGTTGGACCAACTAGTGCACATGACCCCGTCAGTTCTCATGCATGGAGCAACCGGTATTGCTATAGGCGGAGAGGGGAAACCAGAACAGGGTGAACATACCACTTCATAGTACACCAGCAGCATGATAGCAGCCAAAAGATCTTCCCGGTTGGCCTTGGACCCCATTTCGATGAGCCGGGCTAGCCCTTGAATCGCTTGATTGTGGAAGTACAGCGACTTCTCGTCGCCTTTCTCGTTCCCCCGTTGGCGATGCTCCAGGTGGGCGCTTGACAAGGCAAATATGGCGTTCTGCACTACGGTGCTTCTATGGCAAAGGGGCAGGACAAGCTGTTGGAAGGGATTCCCCGATTCGGTTTCGCGGAGGACGATGAGGTGCGACAATACGTTGGCGAAGTGATCAATGAGGGCGCGGCGGCTGGAACAGTCGGAGAACTCGCTGAAGACGGGCAGTACGAACTCGAGATGGGGAGAGCCAAGAGGTGCGGGTGATATCATGGCCAAGTCCGGGTGATGATGGGCTCGGGCCATTCGGGAGACGGCTAGCTGAGGAAGGGGAAGAGGGCTTGTTCTGACAATCTCCTCGTCGACTTGGCCGTCGTCGTTGTCCTGAAGGGAGAGGTGAAAGGGCATGTCGAAGGGAGAGACGAGGGCGGCATCAGAATCGATGGCGGAAGAGGTGGCCCATTGCGAGCCGAGGGGACTGGCGAGACTGGCAACGTCCGCAACGTCCGCAACGTCCTCTATCATGGATACCGACGGGCCATCCCCGTCATGGTCGTCTTCTTTCTGGGCGCCTGCCAGGCCTGCGACGGCCGGGGGGAGATCCAGTGTACCGGTATCGAGTCTAAGAAACGGAAGATGGGCTTCGGGGGATTGTTCATCGTCATAGTGTCCAGCGTTCGAATCGCGCTTCTTGCGTTGGCGGGGCTTGACTGGCTCGTAGACGCATTTCTGACCGCGTTCGACGCAGCGGGAGCATTCCGGCCTGTTTTCGTCGCACTTTTTCTTCTGTTTTACCCTCGCCGAGGGACGGATGTTAGAATGCGGACGTCGAAGAGGATGAAGAAGGGGGGAAGGGCAGGGTGTCGGATGCCGAGTGTTTGGTGTTTGGATTGGGATTTTTTTTGTTGTGTTGTGGTGGTGGCTGCGGATGTGGGATGTGGTCATGGATGCGGTTGTGGTTCATTGTGGTTGTGTACCTTTTCCTTGCTGTTTTGGTTGTGGTTCCCCCACGTGTCAGCACGACCAGTCATAACCCAAAACCAAGAAAAGAAGGGGGGAAAGAAGAGTCGTTCAAAGCATAAAGGAGGATATAAGACATACCAGTATGCGCAACCTGCATATTCGTAAAATGAACAAACCGTGGGTCAGCAAGAGGTGCGAACCGAGCCGGCCACATCGGGATGGGGGTGGCGATGGGATGGCGATGGGGATGGAGATGGCAGCCAGGAAACGGAACGGCAGCAAGCACAGTATGTGGCAAAGGAAAGACGCGAGCGAGCAAACAATAGAACGTACCGGCTCTAGATCTCCTTTTGGGAGGCTTTGGCGCCGCAACCTTTGTGTAAAGCAACATGATGAACGGGTGAAGAGAAATATCAAACGATGCGAATGTCGTAGACTGAGACTCGTTACCGCCCATTCGGGGGTTTGCCCAAAGTCATGTTTGTCGCTTGATCGTATGCATACAAATATGGTCGCCAGAGAAATTTACCAAGGCGTTCAGGATTAGTCGAGGAATAATGATTCCGGTTCCAAGGTCGAAGGTCGGGGAAAAGAGAGAGGGATTGGAAGAGGT